AATCAATGCGCGAGCGACGCTTCGCTGGCATAATCCGATTTTTAAACGATGAAACATCATTCAAGCGCACTTTCCCGCGCATATAGCACTGTGCTGCGATCGGACGTATCAGGTACGCCGCGACCGAACTGCTCCGTTAGACGTTCAGCAACTAAATTGGATTTTTTTCACTGACAAGCACGAGAGCTTTTTCTCGGTGAAAGCCTTTCGTAAACCTCGACTGCTTTCTTCGGTTACCAAATTCCTCTACGCTTGAGGGCGTGTCTTCTCGCTTCATCCCTTTTATCGCGCACTTTCCCGAATGGCATACCTCCGCCGCACTCCCGTATCCTATTCTCTATCTTTCGATTTTTCTTTGTCTTTCAAGCTTCTTTTTCTTTTATTTTCTTCGTTCTTTGTTCCGCGATTAGGACAGTCGCTCTCTTTTCAAAGATCCGCTCTACTACTTCTCGGGATTACAGCATGCCAACTAGTTCGCTCGCTAGGCGAATTCTTTTGCGAAAATTAAGCGTCTCGAGATGCAAGAGAGGTGTGCGTTTGCATTTCTCTGATGCTACTTTGTTCTCTCCTCGCCCGTGGCGAGCAATCTCGCTGCATGAAATATTAGCAATGCTAAGTTTTTCTTTGATATATGATTATTCTAGTACTTTTGTCTTTAACGTAGAGAAATCATGGAAAATAATATCTTTATTTAGCAAAGAAATTGGGTAATCTAACAATATTTATTAATCGATGTACCTGTTGATAATTTTTTAATTATTTGTCAGTAAGTATTTCAGGTCAATTTATATCATTCAATGAGTCGATAACGACTCTCTCAATAAATCCGATATTTATATCAAAGTTACAAAATTGTGACATAAATTCTTTTTTTTACGATTTGACAAAAGCATGTTAATCTGAATGCATTAAGCGTGAAAAATACTAGTTTTTGAACTGATCAGCGATGAGAAAGGAATCTATTGAATCGCACTCTCAAATAACCAACCAAGAGTGTTTTATCGTGGAAACACAAAATCGATGAACGATTCAAACCGTCGATGAATAAGTATGAACGAAAACACGCTACAATCTATGACAAAAACGAATTCGAGTATGAATAATTCATTAATTATTGACGAATTTTTTTCTTTTATATCTCATCCGCTTTTATCGGTTGTTTTTTTTTTCGACGATCCTCTAATGCTCATTTTGCATGACTCTGTTTTGCATTCTTTCTCGCACGTGCACGTTTGAAACATCGAAACTGAAGCAAGACTTTTATTAATTAATTTTTCTAGAATTTCTTGTGCCATGACTGTATTTTGATTTACGAATGTGAGATAAATTGCTGTTTCGTTTTTTTTGTTTTTTTTCTCTTCTCGTTGCTCGGTTTGCGCATTGTACTTGGCAATGGAATTTTGATCAGTAATAAAGTTCGGAATAATTAAACTGCAATGCATGACGTCATGTTTTGTTTCTGCGACTGAGAAATTCCAATCCTTGCGGGTGGAGGAAATTACGAAGTAACTCCGAAGTCAGTATATGATTGTCGAACGGACACGAAGCGGTAGCTTCATCCAGAGGAGATAATCTGGCCATTTTGTGCATTATACATAAATTTTTTGAACCTAAATTAGAGCTCATTCATCAATTGCACGTCTTCTATTTTGATTTGCTATAATATATTTAAAGTTCATCAAAATTGAAGGATTATTACTGATTAAACAATGTATTAAGATCATTTAAACATTTCGCTAGTAGACTTCGCAGGATGTATATTATTAGCGCCGATTAAATAAGTTAATTGTTCTCCCCCTTTCTATTGTTTTTCTTCTGTTTGCCTTTGTCTATATGTTCGATCTCTTTTCTCAAAGTCAATCCGACTAACTTTTTCTCCCGAGAATACTTTTGGAAGTCGATTCTTTCGGAAAGGCGCAACATTCTTCTCTTGTCTCGCGTCGACGCTTCTCGCAGCGCGTAAATCCGTATGAACATGTAACGAGAGTATTTGACTATTACGACTGCGCTGAATAATGTTTCGCAAGCGTGAAACGCCGTGATGAATAATTGATAAATCGCCTGCATGCTACACCGGAATACAGTCGCACATATGTGTCGGGGGATTCTGATGCTAATACCGCGATTCCTATCGGACGCGTAATGTGGTCAATGTGACACGCACCATGCCAAAATTACTATATTTGGACCATATCACACGAAAATAGAATTATTTGATTATTTCATTAAATAGTAGATGGTTCCGTGTTGATTGAATAAAACTGTTTTATAATATATTGTATTTATAGTACAAAGTAAAATCTTGCAATATTTGCGATGAAAGATTAAAGACACAATTAAATATTTCATTGTTTTTCCACTTGTGTTCCATTTTGCTCAATTTACTTTCACGTATTATATTTCTCGCAGTCATATTCCATATTAATATCAATTTTTTTTGTTTTTCTGCGCACGATGTACTTCCGCTTCACGCCTATCCAAACTGTCGCGTTGAGATGAGGCTCGATTAAGCCGCAGATTATCCTTTTCTTTCTTTTTTCTCGAATGTGATCAGTAGCGCCTAGCTGTCCCGAACAAATGTTATTAAAAAGAGCACATTACTGGTAATCATACGAAGACAATTATAATCCCTATACTTTTGTTCACTCCTCTTGTTGTTTCCTGCTTTTATTATTCACTCTTCCTCAACCTCCGTTTGCTATTTATATTCATATCTTTTCTCTTACTTTATAATCAGCGTATTTTCCGTAATGTTCATTAACAGTCCTTTTGTTTGCGTTTGTTCTGTCATTAATTAGCGGGTAAAGAAATTCTCATATTTTTTTTCTATTTTTCGCAACTCTTATTGTCGTCATTATTATTTTTATGTATTATTCGTAAACATAGTGTATGATATAAGATGGTTTTATTCAGGTCGGAAGATTTAAGCTTGATCTAAATCAAGCTTGTCAAAATCAAGACGACCAAATTTAATCTGGACGGTTTCCTCGTGTTTCCACGTTTGCTTTTTTTGCTTCTCATTTCCTGTCTGTCTTTTGCTCTTTCTGATATTGAACGTCTCACGGGAGATTCATTTTTCGTCGACAATCTTTTTGCCGAGAAAGAAAGAAATGCCGATGCATATTGATTATATTTACTCGCAGGAAATCGTCGTTTATGCTTAAATTATCGCAAGAAATGGGATCAAATTAGCCAAGAAAATTTATAGAATAGATTGAAAGAGTACGAGAGTTCCATATTCTTTATTTTTCTATTTTGAAGGGATTGCAAAATTCCACTGCACTTGGAATTTGCTAGGCATCTCAATATCGCGCTGCTATCTCTTCTTAGGTTCTAATCGACGACGTTCTTGTGGCCTGAAAGAAGGTGCAGTCGTCTTTTCGCAGTGTGTCTTTCAAAATCACTGGTATTTTAGTCAAGAATTCTCTTATAGCAGAATCGATTTCTGCTTAAAGAAAAATGTCTAAAATTTTTCTTTTTTTTTCTTTAAAGATTACAGCGGTGTAAAAATAGATAACAAATCGATCTATCTTATTTAAGTTTTAATACAAAGTTAAAAGAATTTTAATTAGTTTTGTAATTGCAGAAATATGTATTAAATATAAATATGTATTAAATTAGTTATATTAAATTAAAATAGTGTGAAAAATAATATTAGAAATCATATTTTCTTATAATAATAATTCTTATAATGATTAACTGTCGTATGTCACGAATACGAAATTCTTGTGATTTTCCAAATGTCTTCCACACACATTTCCGTTTCTTCCTATTTTCCAATCTCTAAAATCTTTACAAAAATATATTTGTAGAAAGTAAAATATACATATAAATATATTGAACGACAATTTCAATGCACGCTGTTTTTCCCAAATAAAATTCAACATTTCCGGTATTCATTGTTGTATCTATCCTATGCTTAGTTTTGCATTATATAAAGGGTAAAAAATGGAATATAATATGAGAATATTTAATCAAAAAGTCCGTTCAGATTATATTATTATATTTAGAAGATATAATTGTATACATGTACGATGTATAATGAATTATTATACAAGTAAGAGATTTAAAGAAATAACTTGCAGTAGACATTTTTCAAAAATACATAAAATTATGTCGCTCACTATCGATAAAGTAAGTAGAAGAAATTTCTCGTTCATCGCGTCAGCATATTTCGATTCTAAGAATTTTCCGTGGAAATCTGTCGCTTCATTCAGGAAGTTGAGTTGTCCCGATGGAGATGGAATTGCACGGTGAAACGAAGTTATGGCTCGTCCCCGGATCCTAAATGCCTAGCAATCCGTTCTAATCCTGTCCGAAAAGTTATCGTACAAACGTCTCTCTCTCTCTCTCTCTC